GTCTGGTTTTCGTAGTGATTTTGGCAAGCCGTTAATTTTTAATGCTTTTTGTGACGCAAAGTCTCTTCTATACGTTGAGGAAGTTTTGATTTTCCGTCATAATCAGGCATTTTTTTACAATTTTTCAAAGTGGCGTGGTTGCTTTCCCCGGCCGGAGCTTTACACTTATTTGCTCTGTAACCTTCCGAATGATCAACCCAGTTGTTGATGTATTTTTTGTTATTTTATATTTTGAAGGCAGTTTCAATGTTCGGTGGCTTTCAGGGGATTTTTGACAATTTTGCAGATTTGCGCTTGGTTTTCCGGCTTGTTTTTACAGGACCGAGTTTGCCATTTATTTATCCAGAAACTAATTAAACCAGAAAGTGGCTTTTCACTGTGTGAGATACGGAAAGTTATGTCCCGCAACTACCAAAAGTTTCTAATTTCAGTCATCATCAGGCAATTTTCAAGATTTTTTAAATTGCATGTGATTTTCGCAAATATTAACCCAGATCGTAGTTTGACATTTATTCGCTTAAGAACGTGCAAAGCTGAAGACTCGATTTTGCATCGCATTTGTAGAACGAACAGCTTTTGTGTAGCTTACACAAAAGCGTTCAAGCAAGCCACCTCTGAGGATGCAAGCCACTTGTGCTTGCGAAACATCAGGAAGAAATTTCATTTTATGACGGCCTAAAAACCAGAAAAAATATTTGTCTTCTTATTAGTTTTTCCTCGAACCGAAGTACACCAAAGCATAATGATCCTTGCCGCATCCGAGCGCTTCCTTGAACTGAAATTCTGCTCGCCAGAGGATCTAAAAAACATCCCAGTATGCCATTCCCCGAGTACTTAATAAAATCATGTCAGGGCTACTCTTTACTTAAGCATTGAGACGCCAATTTTCCGTTTTATTCTGCATGTCACATTAATTTCCCGGAATTATTTCAATGAGGAACTTTACACAAAAGCCTGGCGCAATAATGGACGGTTCATTATTTCCTCAAATTAGGCTCATTTGCAGAAGGTTACCTAATTAGCTGCCAACAATATTAATTTCACTCCTCGGCCTTCTTCTTTGCGTCTCTAAATGCAGTTTCAGCTCCCCAACTAGCACGGGGATTCAGACACAATGGCCGGTCGTAGCTAAGCTTCAGTTGCAAGTATTTAATCAGTTGTGCTCGTTTGTTCATCGGAAAAATTCGGCCAAAGCCGAATTCTACTGATTTTGGCTTGAATACTTAAAGATTTCCCTTTTCTGCCGAATCATTCAGTAGAATCCCAATCCTAGACGTTCGCCCTGTACAATTATGAAGAAAAATGCGTAACAGTCGAAGTTATTTAGAGCTGAATATCCGAACAAAATCGTCACTCCTCTAATTAAATTAGTGAAATTAGTGAGCGCCTTAAAAGGCGCAGCTTGGGACGTTGATCGGCGTAAAAAATTCATGTAAAATAAGGATATGCTTTTCCTGAGACAGTCCGGAATTTTAATCAACCCAACTTGTCCCTCTGAAATATTTCCTTCCATTTTTTCGACGTCTCGCATTTTTCACCTAAATAATGCCAATCGATCATAAATTCCTCAAGAAATTTCGAAACCTGCGTGCCAGAATGTTTTTCCTTTTCGTATGTCGCAAGGAAAGTCGTTGTTAACGCGGGCAGTTTTTGTTTAATTAATAAATACTGGTTAAGGTTAAATAACGAGCGGGAGGAGAATCTACTTGCCACACTAAGAGGATTTATTGTGTAAATCCTAGTCGAATTTGCACACTTTGGAATTTTTCGGGGTTTTGAAACAGAACAGCGTTTATTTTTTGTAGCTTTTCTTCCCCATCCCTGCGGCGTTTTTGTAGACACAGTGATTTGCAACCGTTTATCCGCTTGTAACAACGATTCAACCTACACAAATTCCAAATGTTGTTTCCCAATGCGGCTTTTCCCAATTTTCCAAGGAAACCGAAAATATTTCCGTATTACTCAATGTAGCTTTCGTGCAAAACCAGCCGAAATTTAAAGCTTTTTCTTGGGCACAATCATTCAATCGGCTTTATCCGGTCGAGTAGCGGCCTCACTTAGCTTTAAATTGACTTAAAATAATCACCTCCACCCGCCAATCAACTAATATCGAATCGTTTTCCGGTGGGTTTAACCGCGGTCTAAACACCTCACAGTTAATTAACTGGAGATGTTATCGTCGATTCAACAATTAAAATGAATTAAACACTCAATAAAGCGCCGAGATGGATGCAGCCGATTAAGGGAAAGCCTGAAAATTTCTATTCCGATTCGATTAAATGGGAAAGGTGTAAATAATCTAAGCACTTTGGAAGCCACTTTGCGCTCAGAATTGAATAGAGTCTCATCTGAAGACTTTCAGAATCATGAGTCGCAGATGCCTGAACCAGGTGATTTTGTTCGCATAGGTTTGTGCTAGTTTGGGCTAATTTAGTTTAAACTAATGGGTTTTTCGGGGCGTTTTACGAACGACGGCTTAAAAAACCGAAAAACCCATTAGTTTCAAGGAATGGCCTCGAAAGTCTATCTCTGTTGATGAAACTTGATGTTTAAGTTAGACCGGGAAGGTGAATCATTGCCTAATCCTGCAATTTATTTGATTTGTGTTTAACTAGAACCCAACCTTTTTTATAAGAGCCAATTTAATTGGTTGTGGGATTTAAATGTTTTTCCTGTTTTCTTCTGGGCGAGTTCGGCGACGCCAGAATGCACACAGCAAATTTGTCTAT